TGAGATTGGCACAGGATAGAGCAGGGTTTAGGGCTGTTGTACATAGGGTCGCTATGAGTCGCAAATGACTCGACGGCACATAACAACAACAACAAGAATTTTAATTTGAAATATTATTATAGTTTAAGTCATTATGATAAAGTAATTACCACTTTTAAGTATTGATTCTTTCTCCTGAAATGCCTATAACTTCCTTGTTGACCTGGACTCACTCCTGAAAGAGTAGCTGTGGTTGCTCATTTTGGTCTTATGAGGGGGCTTCTAGTGACACCTGGCCCCCTCAGTCAACCATCTCACACCACCCCATTGTGGCTTCCGGTGTGCCTGGAGCAGCATTTCTCCTGAGCTAAGTTCAAGTGCCCACCAATGGCCCTGCACTGCCCTTGACCTCCTTTCAAGCTCACCATCTTTGCTGTTCTGTGGTTTCTGCACAGCCAGATAGCAGAGAAAAGGAGCTAATTAGAGAAGCTCCGTTCTCAGTTACTAAAAGTTTTCCTTTAAAAATACATCCATTTAGGCCTTATCTTCATTGTTGTTGCTTCTGTGAAGCCACGTTCAGTGTCAGATAACAGCAGAAGCACATTAGCGGTAGAATTGGCTGCTTTCCCCAAATGCCCGCTGGGAGAGAGAGCCTCACAGAGCAGGAAGGCCGCCTGGCAAAGAGGGAAAGACAGATGTGAAAATGAAGATAAAGCAAAGATCCCTTTCACTAACCTCCTCTGATATGCCGTTGTTAAAATTAATGCAGTTATGCACAGACATCTGGAACAAATGCATAAACCTTTGGGGGTGACTGTTACAGTAAAATATCAAAATTGTAAAAAAAGATTTTAAGGGGAAAAAAAATCAAAGATTTCATGGCTGTTTCCAAAGGACAAATAGTTGTACAAATGAAGAGATGGACAAACAAGAATTTTTTGTGGTTTTGGTTTTATTGTTGTTTGTTTTGTTTTTTAAAAGCTCTTAAGTCATAATGTTAGGACACAAAGCTAATTGGATTTGCATGAACTTTTCAACTGGGTAATGATTGTTCCTGGTTGCAGATGTTTATGTCCTGCCTGTTGTTGTTATGTGCCATCGATCACCTGCAACTCATAGTGACCCTACGTACAATAACTCTAAACCCTGCTCTATCGCCTGCCAATCTTACTGTCTCCAACACATCTAACCCCATTTCTCCAGTGACTGAATCAATCCATCTCATCAAGGATCTTTCTCTCCTGTGCTGTTCCTCCTCCCTTCCAAACATGATGTCCCTCTCCAAAGACTGATCCCACCTTGCAACATGTCCAAAGTATGTCAACAAAGCT